ACTTACGCTGGAAAAGCTTGGGGATTTTTTTCCTCGTGAGTAGGGGATCCACTGAATCAAGGGAAAAATGTTGTAAGGACTCCTCCTCCTTTAAGAAAGGAGCGGCAGTAACAACATGGATGAACTGACCTGCACTCCCCATTCCCTGTCCCCCTGTGCCGCTGGGGGGGAGGTAGAGCCAGGAACAAAAGGAAAGGGGGGTGGGGAGGTTGTTGTGTTTAAGATCTGGCCTTGTTTTCTCTTTCTCAAGTAACCGGTTTCGTTCCCTTTTGTCTCTTGTTAAGTAACTGTTAATAAATTGTTTTGTTTTAAGAAGAAAGCCTGAGTCATGTTTTGCTTGGGACCATGGTTGGTGGGTGCTCCCTCTCGGTTCTCGTCTCGACCCTCAGTCCAAAACCACGACACAAGGAGGTCTTTGGAGCAGTCTCTGGGACACAGGAATAAGCTCAACTCACAGATCAGCACCTGCCACTGCGCTTCCACAGCTTCTCCTCCAAACTAAGCAGACAGCCGGGAGGAAAGATGACCTGCTGTTACAGCCATGTCTGCCAAACTCTGTGATGGACACTACAGAACTTGTCACTTCATGAAAGAATGTAAGAACGCGTACAGAGGCAGTCATCAGATTTGGTATTTACAGTAAATTTTATAACCCAGCCTAACTAGCAGTAACCTCTTTACAAGCTTCTTCCAAATCTTCTAGGTAGGAGAACGTTGTCCTGCATTAAAGAATTAAACCTAATCTCTTCCAAGCCAAATAAGTAAATAAATAGACAGGTCAATCAAAAAAGCCAAAACGACAACCATTTCAAAATACCAGTAAACAGTATTTTCAGTAAACAGAAAAATAAATGCCTATTTCCTACCTTCTTTTCTAGAAACGAGGACTGTGTTTTCATCTGTCAAAAAATTGAAAGAACTGTAAGTTTTATTTTCAGAAAAAATAGTATGCAAAAGCATAGACTCTTATAAATCTGAACTTTTTCAAAATCATGCTGTACAGAGAATTACATTTACATTTATATTTAGGCATGAAGAAATTTAGCAAAAGGAAAATTTTCAGATCAATTAATCTAAAGACTGTTTAAGAACGGTGGGACGAAAACAATCCCCCAAAGCCCAGAACAACGACAGGATCTCCCAGAGCGCAGCTGCAAGGAACAGCTTGCAGGAAACACTCCATCCACTTCCCAGTCTCCTACATTATTTCACATGCAGCCTGACACTCTGCAGCCTAATTCATTGCCTAGAAAACACAACAGTGCACTAACAGGTAGCTCAACCAGCAGCCTCTTTGCACAGCACTCTCCAGAGCTTAACCTGTATTACAAGAGTACTCCCTTTAGAAATTACTAAGCTACTGGAATAAAAGAACATGGATAGTGACAGGGAAGGGTGACTGAACACCTTCCGTATAATTCCAGCAATCACCTCATCCTTGCAGGACGTACTAAAAGTTGGTTAAAAAACTTTTATCAAAGAGTTGCAATGTACTTTTCAAAAGGGGAGTCTCAGTTTTATGCAAGACGGTGGAATGGAAACCAGTGTTAAATGCAAATGGTGGAAATCAGTCTGCAGCCACAAAGCAGAGGAGATGAAACTTTTAAACTTGCTCTCTCCTTCTAAAATCACTTAATGATTAACTCCTTAGGTTAAACTTATGTAGGCTTCGTATACCTTAATTTTTATGCTATATTAAGTTTGACTAACTTCTTTAAAGTTTTTTTTGGTGGTGTTTTCACGTGAAAGAGTTTTTACACAAATGACTTTGAATCCTCTAGTTGACAGTGGCAAGTCTTTACTATTATAGTTTAATCATTAACCAGGTGACTACTGAATGCTTCTAGTGAGGGCACGGTCAGCAGCAATGCAAAATACTTCACGTGAAAAGGATGAAGCTGATTAAAATCTCGCCAACTCTGTTGTTGTTATTATTATTATTATTATTTTCCAACACCTATTGTAAGGAAAACTGAAAACACATAAAGAAGTAACTTGGAGTTTTGCTTGTAAAATAAAAATAAATACTTCACGTTCTTATGGTCATTCACCCTAGCACTTAACGTGCTGAAAGCGGAGTCTCCAAATAAATGCTAGGTGGCTTTAAGCCTAACCCGCCGAACAGCTGAACAGGCACATTGTTGGATTCTTCCTTTGTTTGGAAAATACACACCAGGAAGTAGTTCATCAGCTGATGCAGGAAGAGGGCTGAGTGTTACGAAGAGAACACAGGCAGCTCCTTACCGAAGTGAATAAAAAAAAAAAAGTCCAATTTGGATCACACATCTTAAAAAAGCCTTTCACTTGGCGATCTTAAGTATTGTTAAGACTGGTGAAAGTTCGTCCTCAAAGGCTGCGGACCTGCTGCTGAGGAGAGACCTGATGTGACTCCACCTACAGCATGGGAAGATCTTACAACTGCACCTCATCACACCGTACCCAGTAGATCTAAAACGTCTTACCTCCCGTTCCATTAACTCCCTGTGCCTCCTGGCGCCTTCATGCCGCCACAACTTTAGAGAAACCACCGCACTAATCAGATAGATGACCACTGTGACGAACAAGAAGATGATTGCTGCCGTCTGACCTCCCTCTACGCGGCAAAAAGATGCATTTATCGGCGTCTTAAACAGCTGGTAATAGCAGAGCCCACCTCGGTTGGTGTCGTTCACGTACACTACGGCAGCCGACATGTACAGAAAGAACAAGGCCACGTTAATCCCGAACTCGGTCAGAGGCCACCAGTTGGAATCGAGGAGGATAGTCCGGTAGTACATCGACATGCCCAGCACCAGCAGCACTATCGTGACTATCCACGCCATTCCC